GGTTTGTGGACCTGAATGCAGTACAGGTGGAAGTAATGATGTCATGGAGAAAACCACTTAGGCATCTGTTGAACACCTGTGAGGGGTGTGGTGGGAGTTATTGAAGAAGTTCAAGACCCAGTTGGGGAGAGGCAATGCTGAGCAATGGGCAAATTATAATGAACTGTTCATTTCAGACTTCATGTTTTAATTTATTCATGAACTGGTGCTAAAGTCAGTTTTACAGAATTGTGACCAGCATTTAATAAAAGAAGAAAAAAGAAGTAAAAGCAGAAAAGAATAATATAAAATTGAACTGAAAATATCAGTGTGCATTGGTACATGTAAAGGCAACTTGTTTCATGAAACATATTTAAGTTATATATGTGTGTATACACTCAGTATGAAATGTATTTCAGTTTAAAAAGTATGAGAAATGGTGTTCTAAGCCAGGATAAAGGTCTCCAGATTGGAGGGCAGTTAATGACATCTGGGCTGGCAGGTGTGCTGGCTGTGTAGGGGCTGGGGGTTTGGCTTGTAGGGGTGGAAGAGCATAACAAGGGTCAAAAGCATAGACTGTGGAGTCAGAGAGGCCTGGGTTTGGTTCCAGCTCTTCCCCTTACAGCTACATGGTCTTCAGCAAGGCACTTTGACCTTACTAAGTCTTGGATTCTACTGTGAAATGGGGAGAATATTAAGCTAAGGGTTAATATGAAATGTACATGTGATAAATGTACATAAAGCATTGAGAAAGAAATTAGTAAGTAGTAAATGGTGTATGAATGGTAACTACTATTGCTGATGTTTGTTGTAATTGGGTTTTTTAATGGTACATTGGCCCCTGAAGAAGTACTGTAACTTGGAGAGGGACGAAGAAGAAAGGAATGAGTAGGTGACAGGAGATAAGCATTGTGTGGCCTCAGGAGGGGATGTTGAGATTGTAGGTAGAAAATACCAGCACAATTTTGTCATAACACGGGGGAGAAAGTTTTAGTGTAGAAACTGTTCAACAATTGGGTGGCTTCCTCTGGAGATAATAAGGCCCTATCCCTGCCAGAATTCCAGTAGAGGCTGGGCCCAAGAGACTGTTTCAGTAGGCTCTTTGGTTGCAGAAACTTCCTCAGGCCACCAAGAGGGGTTTGCAGGAGGGTGAGTGAGGTCCTGATCTGAGGCATACCCCATGGACCACTTGGTTTCTTTCTTTTTTGTTTCCATTTTTTGTTTTATTTTTATGTACATCTTAACCACTTGGTTTCTTAATATGAAGTCAACTTTTCTCTCACCAGAAATTGGCTCATGCCCTCTCTCTGCTGTCAGGAGGATGCCACCTCAGGGCCTTTACACCATTAAGCTTTTTGCAGGGATCCCCCCCACCCCCAATCCCACCCAATTGACTCTAGGTTCTCCTCACAGCCCCTTTCTGGGCATTCTTTGAAAGTCAATTCATAATGCAGCCTGTCTAAGCACATAGGGAAAATGAGGCTCAGAGTAAGGAGGAGACTCGATTGTGTAAAAAGTATTCCTGTATCAGACAGCAGTTATACCAGGTGCTTTCTGTAATCCTGACTTATTTGATAAAAGGATATGTGAACCTTCAGGTTTTTTTTTTTTTTTTTTTTTAATGGATAGTCTGCAACTACTCAGGAGCATATCCTGTACAGAAAGAGACATCTGCCTGCCATTAGAGAGTGTGCTGAGTAGCCAGGTGTGGTGGCACATGCTTATAATCCCAGCAACTAAGAAGGCTGAAACAGAAGGATCACAAGTTTAAGGCCAATCTGGCAACTTTTAAACTCTGTCTCAAAAACAAAATAAAAAGAGCTGGAGATATAGCCAATGGTAAAGTGCCTCTGGATTACATTCTTAGTACCACACACGGACACAAAAAGAGAGTGTGCTGAGTGCTGAATACACCCAGACCTCAAGTGTCTTCCTTCTCACGATTCCTAGGTAGATTAAACTCCTCTGTTGTAGAGGCCATTTAAATGACCATATTTCCTCAAATTTAAGGTTTTAAAAATTAAAACATCACCAGGCATGGCTGGGCATGGTTGTGCACGCCTGTAATTCCAGCAGCTCAGGAGGCTGAGGCAGGAGGATTGCAAGTTAAAAGCCAGCCTTAGCAACTTACTGAGGCCCTAAGCAATTTAGGGAGACCTTGTCTCAAAATTTAGAAAAATAAAAAGAGCTGAAAGTGTGGTTCAGTAGTTAAGTGTCACTGTGTTCAATCCTTAGTACCCGCCTCCCTGCCAAAAAAAGAAAAAATTAAAATATCTTTTGATTGATATGTTTATTTGTTTTGGTACTGGGGATTGAACCCAAGGCACTTTACCACTTTCCAGGGTCTTGCTAAGTTGTTGAGGCTGACCTCAAACTTATCATTCTCTGCCTTAGCCTCTCAAATCTCTGGGATTATAGGTGTGTGTCACTTTGCGCAGCTGACGTGTATATTTAAAGCAGTGGAAGTTTTTATTGTTTATCTCTGAGAAGGTCTTAACAAATGATCAACTAAATCATGTATCTTAAAATCAGAGGTATCTTAGAATCCAGGAAATATGGTCATTTGTTTTGTACCCTTTTGAAATTCCGGTTTGAGGTTTGAAATTGAGGCTTTGAAACTGTCAGAGCTATTATCTGACATCAGTTAAAAGAACTCTTAGTATGTTTCTCTGTGTATCTATAGTTGAGAGAATGGATATCTTGGAGGCCTTGCAATAAGATTTTTGCCACCAAAGTCAGACTCCAGGAATAAGGTATCAAATGGGTATATATTTAATCATATGGGAATTCTTTGAAACTGATACTCTAGGATAAAAGTCTTGCCCTCTCTGAGCCTCAGTTTCCTCATCTGTGCAACAGGGATTCTGGATCTGATGTTATCTATATCCATAATGGCCAGAACTTCCTGTTGACTTTGTGAGTGCTTCTTCAGTTAACTTGCTGGCTTATCTCCTGACTTATTGCATAAGCAAGTGCATTATGGGTGGTGGAAGTCACCATGGCCTGGGGTATGTAGGCCTTTGGTTTCTGCTCTCTGGGGTTTGGGGGTTGCTGAAGATGGGATGTCCTTTTGTAAAGTACCTGACCAAAAGATTTAAGAAAGGAAAGGAAAGGAAGAATGTCCTTGTGACCTATTTCTATCTCTAGGTAGTGAGCAGGGCAGCAGTTCAAGCTGTGTCATTGTATCCAGGGTCCCTGTTTGTCCTAGGCTATAGTCCCTCCTCAGTTGTTCAGCTCCAAGACTGCTCTCAGGCTCCAGCAGTTCCTCAGATGAAGTGCACTGAAGAGGAGGACTTGCCCTTTTGTGTCCCAGAGGCCTCGGCTCTGCCAGGGCCCCTCCCTCTGCTCTTCCAACCAGTAAAAGTCACAGCAGCACATTTCCTTCCGGTAGAGAGAGAAGCAGAGACTCTAAGCCTGGGCCAGGCCCTAGCCCCACCACATCCTGTTCCTGAGAGCTAATCTCCTTTGAGTGCCTCCTACCCTGTGCCCATTTCTGAATAGTCAGGCAAAACTGAGTGCCAGCCATCTCTGGGCTAGGATCTGTCTTTGAAATGAGTCTGTCTTAGAAATGAGTCCCACTTTTCCCACTGGTTTGCTGTTTGGGTTTGAGTAAGTTACCTTCCTGGGTATCTTACCTCTTTGAGCCTCTGTTTCTTATCTCATTAATATTTCATTTTCTTAACATAGTCAAGTACTTTCTTAATTGAAAAATGTTTTAAAAGTACAACAAAGAAATGTAAAATATCTGTAATCCACTACTTAAAAAAAGTAAGAAAACAGTGTGTATGTGTGAGTAAGAGATGCATACATATATTTTGTGTTCTTTGTTTGCTTTCCAACTATTAGTCTCAAGGCTAGATAGGAAATATATGTAGAATACATAGACTACAGATATTAGTTTCCTTTTCTTTGTCCCTCAGAGTTGTGTAAACTCTTTTTTTTTGGGGGGGGGGGGGGGTACTGGGGATCGAATTACTCAATTCAGGGGCACTCAATTACTGAGCCACATCCCAGTCCTATTGTATTTTATTTAGAGACAGGATCTCACTGAGTTACTTAGTGCCTCACTTTTGCTGAGACTGGCTTTGAACTCATAATTCTCCTATTTCAGCCTCCAGAGCTGCTGGGATTATATGTGTGTGCCACCTTGCCTGGCTTCTGTGAACTCTTGAGTTCCTAGGACTCACTCCTTGGAGAAAGCCAACTCAGTTGATGCACCTCTGGCTAAGCCAGGGATTTCCACCCAGCTTACCTTCATCTGCTTTGGTGCTGTTCTACCTGCCTGGGTGGATCTCAGTGCTCACTAGAGTGTCTCCACAGAGGTCAAGAGTTTGTTCTAGTCATGGGCACACATCTTCTTAGCCTACCCAAGGCCCTGGTCCTAGGTCAGTGCTGACACAGTTGTGATAGCTGCTCAGTTGATACGTGTTGTGCAAATATAAATGATGTTGTTTGAAAGGGCTTTGAAGTATAATATGAAGATTTTAATAGGAGAGACAACTTGGAGAGCATTCCTGCCAAGGGATTAGTAGTATGAGTAAAGGATAAGAGGCAAGGGTGTAAGTGGGGAAACTCTGAGTAACTGGTTCAGGTGAAGAGGTAAGCATATTTCTGTACTTGTTTGACTAGTTTTTGTGTCCAACTCTGCTCCTAGCACACAGGCCTTCTGAAGAGCCTTATTTATATTTACTGAGGCAGGCCCAAGACAGGAATGCTTGGCTTTGATATACAGATGTACATATTTAGCCTCTGCCTCAGAGAGGCTTGGTGACCCCTGGCCCTTTGATACATTTAGGGAGTAGGCATTTGAACCTGGTTTCTCTCTGGCCTCTGCCTTTCACGGAGCGGGGCACCATTCCCTCTCCTGTGCAATAGAGCATTCATGAGTTCACGGTCCTGAAGGGAAGTTCAGGAATGAAGGCCAGGGAGGATTCAGGTCTGGCCAGGCTGGTGTCTGGGGCTGAAGCCAGGGCCTTTGCTTCTCTTGGCACATCTGATGGGTGCTGCCCTCTGCTCCACAGGCTGGAGGAAGTCCCCCTGGAGGTGCTGAGGCAGAGGGAGTCTAAGTGGCTGGACATGCTCAACAACTGGGACAAATGGATGGCCAAGAAGCACAAAAAGGTGAGGGGCCTGACCTCGGGCTTTGGGCTGGGAATTGGTAGTCTGAGGAGGAAAAGGAGGAAAAGGGAGGAATATCATCAGCTTAGGAAAGCAGGGGCTCTCCAACTATCAGGCTGCCTTCTTCCATCAGCCAAACAGGGAACATAAGCTGGCTGGCAAACAGAGGGAAGGCTGGGCCCTGGTAGATGATTTCAGAATCAAAGAACTTTGTCCTGGAGTTAAACTTCAAAGTTGCTTGTAGCCAATAGCACTTATGGACAGCTTTGCTCTAAGTGCAGTGAAAAGGCCTAACATGCTTAGCAAATCAGAATTTATAATCCTAATAACAGCTAACTTGTAGGGATTGTTGGCAAAGTGCTGAGCACTTGACCCTACAAATCCTTTCACTACCCCATCAGGTTGGTAATAGTGGCAGGATCTGCACTGATGGATGACCTACAGAATCCAGATTTGAACCAGGAAGTATAACTTTAACACCTGCCATCTTAACCACTACAGGAAAGGCTTCTTCACACTTTACGTCAACTTGCTGATTTCCCTTTTGTCTCCTGGACAAAGCAAAAAGAAAGTACTCACAATTTACAAAATCTTATAAAAATGAAAACTACTAGGAGTCTTTTTCTAGTCAGGCTATCCTTAGGCACTCTCTCTCACTCTGTGGGAATACACTTGCATTCCACTCTGAAGTCTGTGTGTGTCAATGTCCTCAGCAGGACCTAGTTATTCCCTGGCCTAAAGGAGACCTGCTGAGACACTTATGGCTACAGTTTCTCTACTTACAAGTTGCCAGTCCACAGTGATCCCTGTGTTGTCTGCTGACACACTGATCTAGTATCACTGGCTCAGTGGACTAGTGGAAAGCTCAGGACTAAGTCAGGGATAGGCTTGGGCCCAGTCTCATGCCTTTCCACTTTTCATGCCCATGCCTAGTTGTATAACTTTGGGTAAGTCCCTTCACTCTTTGAGCCTCAGTTTCCCTGGTCAAGTGAGAGAGAGAATTTTGTTGCAAGGGTCCTATAAGGTGGTGCTTCATAAGACTATAAAGCCCTGAACTGTGGTTTGAGAGGCTGTGTGGACCTGGGTTCTTTACTGCTAATCTACATGGGGCACTCATTTTTGACTTATAAGAACATCTTTCAAATGTCAGTTTCTCTAAAAAAAAAATTTTTTTTCCCAATACTGGAGATTGAACCCGAGACCTCATGCATGTTCTACCTCTGGGCTCCATTCCCAACCTTATTTTTGAGACAGGGTCTTACTAAATTGTCAACCCCGGCCCTTAAACTTGTGATCCTTTGCCTCAGGCCCCTAAATAGTTGGGATTACAGACATGTACCTTTTTGCCTAGCTATTAAGATATTTATATTTCCTCAACTGTTTCCTGCCTGACTTTATGATATGTTTTCCTTCCTCATCCTTCCTCAGGCCTTTCCCTGAGCTATAGCTTGTTCTCCAGCTGTCTGTTGTGGTAACAGACTGCTCTTGTGAGCAGCATGACTCCTCTTCCTCACTGCCTGCAGGAATCATGGCTCTGGCTTTCTCTCCCTGGCCTCCTTTGCAAACAGGAAGTCCTGAGGGAACCCTTAGGGAGTTTTCTCAGCAGGACCATTCAGCAGTCTTCCTTTTGCTCTTTGCTTCCCTGGCACTGTGTTTAGAGCCCCAGGGCTGCTCATGCCCAGCAGAAGATTCCGCAGGCCTGCTTTAACCCACCATACCTGGAGGCCATAACCCACTGCTCTGCTTCAGACCAGGACCACTACAGAGTACCCATCTTTCCTCTTTGGCTGTGGTTACCCTGGACAAGCCCCAGGAGCTCTTTCTGCCTGGCTGTGGAGGCTGTGGTCTCCTTTGGTCAAGAAGTCACAGCAAGGAAAAGACTATACCTTTTTTGGGAAGTGTGCTCAGATCCAACACTCCTCCTAAATGACTCCTGCCAGGAGAGGAGGGTGGTTTCCCTCAGCACCCTCAACTGTGTCCAGGACAGAAATCTAGACAGAAAGGGCTATTGCTAGAATACAGTCTTTCCCCATGGGTCCCTGACTTGGGTTTGCTTAAGCAGTGGCCCTGCCCTCCCAGAATTTAGCAGGCAAGGGTGTGGCCTTGCTCAGCTGTCATCAGAGCCCCTCTATCTCAAGGTGTTGCCTAAAAGACTGGTAATCCTTATGCTTTTTGGGAACACTTTCTTGTACTTGTTCCTAACACATCCCTACCATCCTCCCTGAGGCAGGCAGACAGAGTGGATGACCATTTCCTTATCTTTGTGCTGAGGAGAGTAAGAGGCTAGATGGAAAAGTCCTGAACACCATCTCCTTTATCCTAGGTTGTACTCTTGGTTTTCCAGCCTTAGCTCCCTACCCTGGGCCTGTCTAAAAGCAGAGCCTCTTGGGGAACCTCAGTGGACTGAAAATACTCCAAAGCTCCCTTGGAGTAGGGCACATGTAACAGGGATCTGTGATGATGGAGCTGCTTGCCTCAGGCTGGGCTTAATCAATTTGTGTGGAAGCTTGAGGGATCTGTGACTCTGGACTGAACAACAGCCAGTCAGTTGCCAAAGCCTGGCCAAAGTGACTTCCTTAAGGTGACCCTTGTCCCACAGCAGCAGGAAACTTCCCAGTCAGGGGCAGTTCCCCTCCACTCCCTTCCTCTCTCCCTTTTCCAGGCAATTCCAGCAGCTCAGTCTTGGCTCTTATGAGCAGTCTGATTCCTATTCCTCACTGCCTGCAGCCTGTCTCCTTCCTGGTTCTTGACTTTCTTTGACCCTTGGAAAGTTTTCTCTTGTTTGTGCTGATCATCAGGAAGGCCAGGTCTTATGTTCTCCCTCTTCTGAGAGTTTCTAGTGGGACTGTTTGAGGGGTTTTCCAGGTGAGGGAAAGTTAGGTGTGAGCTAAGGCCCCAGAGCTTCTGTGTTAAATATCCTTCTGTGATGTAGGGTCGAGAAGAAGCCATTACTTATTGAACACAGATTGTGCGTCAAGCCCCACACTGAGCACATTTGCCCCCTTCTAGTGGAATCCTTTCAGCAAGTCTGAAGTGGTAGGTGACATCATTCAGATCTTAAAGTTGGTAAGAAATGATTGGCCCAAGGCCAGTACAAGACTCAGACCTACATCAGCTACTCTCATGCCCTGTGTACTCAGCTCCTTTATCTCAGGCCAGACTGCTTAGTGTATGGGGCTGAGGGTGTACCCAGTCTCATGCCAACATCTCATAGTAAGGGCTGCAATCAGAATTTACTCCCAGCCAGCTGCCTTTCTCCTTGTCACTGTCAAGGTCCTCTCCGGAGCTCAGGGTCAAGGAGAGAAGAGAGGGAATTCCTGACCAAAACAATGAGAGAGCCTTCCTTTTGAGTTCTGCTGAGAGTTCTCCAGGCTGTCTGTGTCCTGCTGTACAGCTGCTTAAACCAACACCCTCCATGAAAGTGTTTGGACCACACCTTTGGGTGTATTCTGGTTCATCTTGTGAGCAGCCTTTCCTATGGCTGCAACTGTGCCTTGTGGTGCAACTGTGGTGCAGATCCCTCTCTGGTGACAAGCTATGGGATAACTCAACTTGTATGGTTCTATTTTGATTCAGAAGTACAGTAAGCCCTTAGTATTTGTAGGTTCACACCAGTAGATTCAGCCAACCACAAATGGAAAATATGGTTAGGGTTAAATGGTTATATCTACTGAATATGTAGACTTTATTTCCTGAACAATACAATATACTATTTACTTAGTATTTACATTGCACTAGGTATTATAAATGATCTAGAGATGATTTAAAGTATATGGGAGGATGTGCATAGTTTATATACTCCCTTTATATAGGGTACTTTATATATTCTCCTTTTTATATGGAGGACTTGAATACCAGAAGAACCTGGTGTCCATGGGGGTTCTGGAACCAGTTCCCTGTGGGAGATTGTAGTTATGGGCAACCAGAATTCTGTGACAGACTTCAGGAATACCTTTTTATTTGTTTGTTTGTTTGTTTGTTTTGTTTTGCAGTGCTGGGGATTGTTCCCAGAGCCTCTGCATGCTAGGCAAGCGCTCTACAGGAGTCACATCCCCAGCCCAGGAATGAATGCCTGTTTTGTCACTGGACCAGGAGATGTGCACTCTGCCATCACCTGGTGGTAGCATGTCTAATTTCAATCCCTCTGTTCCCACTATAGAATCTGCATTATAGTAACAGTAGGAAAGTCCTCCCCTCTACCCCACCCTGCTTTTCTGCGCTTGCTGATATACTGAGTGAGGGTCCCACCAAGCCCTGAAAGACGAGCCTGGCTCAAGGAGCTGCCGGGTGGATGCATGGTCACAGCTATCTTTTTGATTTTCAGATCCGCCTGCGGTGTCAGAAAGGCATCCCACCTTCTCTGCGGGGCCGTGCTTGGCAATACCTGTCAGGAGGCAAGGTGAAACTGCAGCAGAATCCTGGAAAGTTTGACGTGAGTTTGCCTTCCTTCCTTCACCCCACCCTTCCTTCCATGTTTCTGGGCTGGGCGTCCTCCCGTGGCAGCAATTCCCCATATGCTAACCTGGACCTCAGCCGAGGGCCAGGGATGGGGGCAACTGACAGAACCTCCAGTCTTGTGCTTGACAACACAGGACTAGCAGACTGTTTTGGCCCAGTCTTGGGAAACCATGACTCCTGGAGGCTCTGTTCATCTGAGGGTGTAGCCTTGAATAGACCTTAATGGGATGGATAGATTTGCCAAACCCCCAACTCCAGCTCTTTGTCTTCACAATTACTCAGGTTTGTTTTGGGGCACTTATTGTGCTACCTCCCAGTTCTTAGTCATCAGGAGGGATAATCAGAGCATTTCCCTGTTTGGGGCCTGTGCTCTGGGCCTCTATGGGGCTTGCCTAGCAGGACCACAAGACCCTTGACACTGCCTGGCCTTTCATCCTCCTCTCTTCCTCCTACCTCCAAACCAAACCAGACATGCTGCCTGAAGGGGTCATCATTCCTGAAGGTAGCAATGCTAAACTCCCTTCAGGAGTGAGAGGCGACTCTGTGGCCAAAGACGGTGCCCACTGTATCCATGCCTCCCTCTGCCCTACCCCTCTCTTGCTGCTCCCAACTCAGTGACTGGCCAGAGTACACTACCCCTCCATTCACTGACCTGGGCAGTTCCTCCAACCTACTCCCCTGGGGAACTGGGAGGAGGCAGTTGGCTTCGCCAGAATTGCCCCAGCTTACCTGCCAGACCTCATCCCAGGCATCAGGGTTTCTCCCAGGCCACTGGGACTAATGACAGGCAGTGAGACAGAACTGTCAGCCACTAGTTCTTTGTTGACATCCTTCATGCTTTGGTGAACACTCCTGTCTGGCTAGACCTGCTCTCTGAAAAAGGAGGATAGGAGCACAGCAGGGCAGAGTTTCTGTTGTTGCCCTGAAAAGGCTGAGAGCTATTAACTGGCAGCACTTGGCCCCAGGGAAAGAGGTACTGGTGGGACATCTGCTGGGGGAAACTGTGAATCAAGGAAATTGGCTATTCCCATAGAGCACCAATACCAGGCCACACTGGAGTGGCCTTTCAACTCCAGAGTCTTCTTCCCAGTGGCTACGTCTCCATTGCAAGGGGCTACTTTCTGGGCAGGGTGGGGAACTCAGGGATGAGAGCCCTGCCCCAAGTCCATAGCTATGTCTGGCTGCCAGAGCACAGGCCCGAGAACCAAGAACATGGGGACTTGGCCAGCGTCCTGGTTGCACAGTTCAGCAGGTCCTCAGTGGGTGTAGTAGAGCAGAGTTCTGTACATATATGTAGAGTGGTATGTCCAAAGAGGAACTGGCTACCCGCTGTGACATTTTCAAGGTTGCTTGTGCAAGGAAGTTGATTTGCTGAGAAAAGGCCTTTTTTTTTTTTTTTTGAGGTGATTTTAAATTTGTTTTAATTAGTTATACATGAGAAGTAAAATGCATTTATGCACTTTGATATATCATACATAGATGAGATATAATTTTTCATTTTTCTGAGTGTACATATTGTAGAATCATATTGGTTATGCAGTCACATATATACATAAAGTAATAATGTCTGTTTCGTTCTACTATCTTTCCTATCCCCATATCCTCTCCCCTCCCTTCACTTCCCTCTACCTAATCTAAGGTAATGCTATTCTTCTCTGGTGCACCCCGCCCCACCTTATTGTGAATTAGCATCTGTATATTAGAGAAAACATTCAGCCTTTGGCTTTTGGGGATTGGCTTATTTCACTTAGCATGATATTCTCCAACTCGATCCATTTACTGGCAAATGCCATAATTTCATTCTTCTTTAAAGCTGAGTAATAGTCTATTGAATATATATATATATATATATATACCACATTTTCTTTATCCATTCATCTATTGAAGTACACCTAATTTGGTTCCATAGTTTAGCTATTATGAATTGAGCTGATATAAAAATTGACATGACATCTCATTTTAAGCAATCCTAAGTAATCCTGTGAGGCAAACATTATTACTACTATTCTTATTTTATAAATGAATATTGAACTTATCAATTAGTAGATGCCAACTATTTGGAGAAGATTTGGTTATGGAGAATATAGCCAATTAGATAATTGGCAAATATATGCTTTGTTTTCATACCTTTGTGGATGAAATATAGGAGACTCTGCTACTTTGATGCTGGGTTTGAATGTTTGACTTTAGTTATCCAATGCAATACTGGCAGACAAGAAATGAACAGAGATTTGAAATGTGCTCGTGCAATCTGACTTGCTCTTCTGCACTTCTGCTATCACCATGAGCATAACATGCCCGTGAGGACCCACAGGTATCAGAAACATGGAAGACATGCAGACGAGACTGGACTGACTTGCAGCTTGGTGCCAACACCTGTTGAGCGTAGCCTACAGCTATAAAATGCTTTTAGTTTGACCAAACTCAGGTTTGTGAATAAGAAGAAATGATTGTTGTTTTAAACTGATGAGCTTGGGATGGCTTGTTAATGCAGCATTATTGTTGTAATAGCTAACTGGTGCAGAGAGGAAGAGAAAATGGAGTGTAAACTGCCCATAAAAAAGAATAAAATGAATTCAAATAAAAAAATTGACATGGATGCATTACTGTAGTATGCTGATTTTAAGTCGAGAAAAGACCTTTTTTAAAAAAAAATATTTTTTAGTTGTAGATGGACACAACCTTTATTTATTTTTGTGTGGTGCTGAGGATCAAACCCAATGCCTCATACATGCCAGGCAAGCACTCTACCACTGAGCCACAACCCCAACCCCGAGAAAAGGCCTTCTTGATGCTCTGAATCTGAGCAGTGGGTCCCTGAAGTAGACTTGGGAGCACAGAGATTGGTTTGCTAGCAGATTTTTGGTTTGCTAGGAAGGACTTTTCCTTTAAATGACCCAAAGGAAGCAGACAGGAATGGGAAGCTCTCTCCAATGCCTCACATGCATGAGCCATGGCAGGAGTCTAGGGAGGGGGCTGTGGTATTACTGGGTCCTCCAGTTAACACAGTGCTCTAGATAGCTGGTTCCATCTCAACAGTCAGGACAGATTCTATAGGACTTGGCTACTCCATTTTTTCCTGCACTTGCTATTTCTTGTGTCTTTCTTGGACAAGGAGGACTTTCCTGTTCTTTTTTTACCTGTTTTTCTTCTCCGGTTTCACCTCATGATGGTACCAGCACTGTGCAGGCTCAAGAAGGTCCCAGGCCCAGTGATGGAAATTCTGGCTTCTCTGTGGGTGGCCCCTGCCTGGCTTTGATTCCCAGCACACCCCTTCTCCCAAGAGTGATTGCAGCTATCTCTTTTACCTTTTCATCAGCCTGAGTGTGGTTAGGTAGGTACCTTGGGCTGCTGAGGTACCAGATGAACACATTCTAGGAACTAATTTTAGGGGTTTTTAGGTCCCTATACCTCATGGGAACCACCAGGAGAATTTGTGGGGATCTTCTCCCCTTCTGAAAAAAAAAGAAAAACTGAATTTTGCTAGGAATACACAGCACACACACAGGCCCTGTCTTGAGTGTTCGTGGGGCTCCAGAGGATAACACACCTTCCTTCACTGTGGAAACCCCAACCCCTTCCTCTCCCTCAGCCTTCTGGACTCTTTCACCTTTCCTTTCAGTCCTTACTCTATGGTCAAGTTTCAGGCATCCTAAATTCTTTAGTTTAATACTGGACACCCCTATTAAGGGCATGAAAGGGAGAGGGACTTGTATGAGGTCACCTGGTGGTGCCTTCTTAGGATATTTGCTGAAACCTCCTTTCCTTCCCAGCACCTTCCCTGATGCTGCAGCTTGTACTTGGCTCAGCTTCCCTGCTCAGCCCTTTTAGTTTCCTTCATATTTATTTTTCTTTCTTTTCTAAATATTGAAGCATAACTTTATATAGGGAAAAATGTACAGATCTTGAGTGTGCTGTTCAGTGAGCTTTGACAAATAATACTCATCCTTATAACTGACATGCAATTCAAAAAAAGGAGCATTAAATATTATTCCTGGGACCAGCCAATTCTGCCAGGAATGCTCCCCTCCACTCTCCCTAGCCCCTTATATGTGCCTTTGCCTTTGTTTCTAGGAGCTGGACATGTCTCCTGGGGACCCTAAATGGCTTGATGTGATTGAGCGTGACCTGCACAGACAGTTCCCTTTCCATGAGATGTTTGTGTCCCGTGGAGGTCATGGGTGAGCAGGACTATAGGCTGGAAGAGGGGCTCTAGGGCCTGTCCCTCAATGGGCAGAGTGGGTGCAATGAGATTGGAAGTATCCTTGGGGGCCCAGAAGCCAGGTATCCCAGTATCCCAAATTCTGTCAGTATTTCCCTTCTTTTTTTAGAGAGAGGATTTTTTAAAATATTTTTTTTTGAGTTTTCGATAGACACAACATCTTTATTTTATATTTATGTGGTGCTGAGGATCAAACTCAGCGCCCCGCTCATGCCAGGCGAGTGCACTACCGCTTGAGCCACATCCCCAGCCCAGTATTTCCCTTCTTTGATTTATGTTTGATAGAGTTCTTAGCATCTCCTCTGGGCAGCTTTCATCATTTATTCCCCAGACTGCTAGAGCTTGCCCACTCTGGCCTTCTGCAAACAGGTTTTTGTTGTAAAAAAAGGGATAGTGAGGATTGGGTAGGAAGAGGGTATGCAGGAAGGGACTGACTGGGACAAAGCTGCCAGTGGAGCTGCCAGTGATGGACTCCAGCCTCCAGCCTGATACCTTACCCTGTACCTCTCTGGCAACCTGTCACAGTCCTTCCCCTTTCCTCACCTGTCATGGGGGAATCTCTTCCTACTTTCCTTCTTAGTCAGGTGAGAATCCATATGTTACAGTGGGAGGCCAGCCCCTTGGTGACCACAAGTAGGTCACCGCCCCTTTCCAGGAAAGTGCAAATTCTGAAGGAGGTCCAGTCCAGTGGTTACAGGTGGGGCAGTGGATGGTAGAATCAATCTGTCATGGCTGTCCTGCCTGACTTCTCCACAGCCAGCAGGACCTGTTCCGTGTGCTAAAGGCCTACACGCTGTACCGACCTGAGGAGGGCTACTGCCAAGCCCAGGCGCCTATTGCTGCTGTTCTACTCATGCACATGCCTGCTGAGGTACCATCAGGCCCTGGACACATGGGTGGGCAAAGGGACCAACCCCAGTAGCAAGGCCTGATGTTTTTCTCGCCCATAGCAAGCCTTCTGGTGTCTGGTACAGATCTGTGAGAAGTATCTGCCTGGCTACTACAGTGAGAAATTGGTGAGTACTTTGCTGGCCTGGGACCTGACCCCAGCTGGATGCCTTCTGTGGTCCCTCTAGGCTCTTCTTTCTACAGTCATTCCAGGCTGAAGTCCTAGAGTCTGGTCTCCCAGACCCTGGTGTCATAGGTGCTACACTTGCCTACATCTCTCCCTCCAACCACTTGGGCCATTTGGCCAGGACTGAAATTCCTCCAGAGCACAAAGTTCTTCCTGCCTCTGCTGTGGCGTAGGAGTAAACCTCTGCCTGAAGCTCCATTCCTCTCAAAACTCCTCCTTTCTCAGCTTTCAGCTTGTGTGGAGCTTTCCTTGGCCTGAGTAGGGAGAACCCTCTGTCAGGTACTTGTGTAGCATTCCTGTTCCTGCCATGTTCAGGGCACTCAGCACTGTTATCCCCTCTCCTAGTCCCTTTTCACTATAAGTTCCATGAGGGGGACCAGCTGTCTAGTTTGCTCACTGCGGCTTTGGTCATGGCCCCATGGCCTTGATGTCCCCCCAGGAGGCGATCCAGCTGGACGGCGAGATCCTCTTCTCATTGCTGCAGAAGGTGTCACCTGTGGCCCACAAGCACCTCAGCCGTCAGAAGATTGACCCGCTGCTCTACATGACAGAGTGGTTCATGTGCGCCTTTGCCCGCACCCTGCCCTGGAGCTCTGTGCTGCGTGTCTGGGACATGTTCTTCTGTGAGGGTAACCAGGCTGGCCTGGGGGGAATTTCAGAGTCCTGGTAGAGGCCTCCTTGCACTCACCATCTGCTTCCCATGCAGGAGTCAAGATCATCTTCCGGGTGGGGTTGGTGCTACTGAAGCACGCACTGGGCTCCCCAGAGAAGCTCAAAGCCTGCCAGGGCCAGTACGAGACCATCGAGCAACTGCGGAGCCTGAGTCCCAAGATCATGCAGGAAGCCTTCCTGGTTCAGGAGGTTCGGCCCACACCTGCCCCTTGTGGCGACTGGGAGGGAGGAGGATTTGGTAGGGTTCTGCTCACAAGGATGGGCTACCCATGCTGGGCCCACTGCTAAGCAGCCCTGAACAGGGCAGATGGACCTCACCTTCCTGTCTGGGTCGGGCACAGAGAGGCCTTGGTTTGTAGGACCTTCCTTATCCAAGTTACCGGGGAATGAAGAGGAGCTGCAACTTGTAACCTCTTCTTTCCTGGTCCCACATTCATGGCCTGGGCTTTATTTTCCTTTTTTTTTTCTTTGTGGATACTACTCTCTCAGGCTACAATGAAGTGATACATGAGTGGCCAGCTTCTATGGCTGGAGGCCAGGGGATAGGGCTGATGCCATTGCGTGGGGAAGAAATAGAAAGCAACAGCCCATTTTTGTACTTGCTTTACCAACAGCTGCTGAAGACTGTGCCATTATCCCTATTTTACGTATGAGGAAATGGAGGCTCACAGAGGCAGGATCATAAAGTGACTCCCCCAGTCACCAACCAAAAAGTGGCACAGCTGGAATTAGCCCAGGAGGCCAGGGTGCCCTAGGCAGTTGGGGGGCAGGGCATGTGGGCCAAGAATGGGTGTTGTCCTGAGCCTTATTTCTCTTGCCCAGTAAGAAAGGCAAATTGACTTGTGTGTTGTGAGCAGCTTTTTCCTCAGAGGCAGTGGGTTTCATGTCCCTGGCACTCAGCTCTGGGACTTGTGACCACAGCTTGGGACCAGATTCTCATCTTTGCTGGGTTCAGCTGTTATCAGTGAGAGCTGGGAGATGCTGAAGGGAGAGCAGGGGTCCAGGCTGAAACAACTGGTGATGGTCCTTCTTCTTGGTGCTTACCTGCCCCTCATTGCCCCTGCAGGTGGTAGAGTTGCCTGTGACAGAGCGCCAGATTGAGCGTGAGCATCTCATCCAGCTGCGGCGCTGGCAGGAGACACGGGGTGAGCTGCAGTGTCGCTCCCCACCCAGGCTGCATGGTGCCAAGGCCATCCTAGATGCAGAGCCCGGCCCCCGGCCTGCCCTGCAACCTTCACCATCCATCCGCCTACCCCCAGATGCACCCCTCCCTGGTCCCAAAGCCAAGCCCAAGCCTCCCAAGCAGGTCCAGAAGGAGCAGCGGAAGCAGACAAAAGCAAGTGGGCAACTGGACAAGTCCCTGTCCCCCAACCAAGCCGCGGTAGTGACGGCTGCAGGAGATGCATGTCTCTCACAGGAGGTGCCCTCAAAGGACCTGGCTTCTCAGGACCCAGCCCCCCAGGACTCAGCACCCCAGGACTTAGCCCACCACTGCTCCCAGGAGAGCCTGATATCCCAGGAGAGTGAAGATACCTACTTGTAACCCCGGCAGCTCAGGCCTCCAGGGTGGGGGTCTCCACACACCTACATGGTTTGAAGACTGATGCTCCAGGTCCTGCTCACCCAAGGGCCCCACTGCTTGGCCACTGGGCTGGGAGAGTCTGGCTGGACTAGCACAGATTCTGCCTGAGCCTCCTTATTTATTTTCTCTAGAGTGGAGCTCGGGCTGGCCCAGCCAGGGCAGACAGAAGCCAGGGCCAAGTGGGTGGGGCCTCATTCAGCACCCTTCCTGGATGCTCCCAGGATTAGGGTGCTGGCATGAGGAGAGAGGGTGGGGTGCCCTTTGTGTAAAATAGAAATGTGGTTTTGTACAGAAATAAACAGGCTTGTGTAGAGAGTTGGTGTGTAGCTAGGGACTGGGAAGGGGTGACACCCTGGTGCTTAGCATCTCTTCTCCACATCTCTTAACCCAAAACTATCTTCTTTGAGATGTACCTTTGGCAGAGGAATTGCCAAGTCCAGGACCAGCCCCTCTTACTGGCCCCATCTTCCCTGACCCCATCCCTTTCCTCTGCCATGGATGAGGGACACCAGGGCTTGGAGCCCACCACTGGATCAGAGCAGGGTTATGATTTCCTGGACTTAGGTCCCTATTAATAATCATTGAAGGGTAAGGGCTTCCTGCAGAGGTGGCTTCAAGCTCTTTCCCCTCCAAGGCCTAGCCAGATGCCACTTCAGGTCCTGATTAGCTTCTGAGTGCTCATTGGAGATTGGAAGCTGGCACCAGGGGTGAGGAACCATGAATGTCCTCATGCTCAGCCCAGGCCTCTGTCAAGAGGCAGATAGGTGAGGGGAGAAGTCTGGGTCCTTGATAAAATGCTGCCTTATGTTTACTGAGCACTTACCTTGTGGCAGGCAGGCTTGGTTGTGTGGTGTGCCTGAGAGGTAGGGAACTGGAGCCGAGTGGGAAAGGAGCCTTGCCTTCCGACATGAAGAGCCACACTGGCACCTAGATCCCTTCACTCATCTCCCTCTCCTGACCAGTTTTCTAGTGATCCTACTGCTACTGAGAGGCCAGGCAGGCATTTGGTCACAACTGATGACTGGCAAGGCTGAGGACAGGGTGTCCCTGGGAAAGGCCCCCCCCCCCCCTCGGCCCCTTCTGCTGAGGAAGCAGCTTTTCCAGTCAAACAATAGGAGCTGTTCCTGGCAGGAGACCAGGCTGGGCCAGGCCATAGTGGGTGGGGAGGGTGGAGAGAGGAGGAGAGCCTCCCTGTGAGCTTTTAGGCCTTGGTTGTGTATGGGACATCTTTTTCTGGTACAGCTGGGGATACTGAAGCCTAGGGAGGTGAACTACCAGTGGAGGCTCAAGGGAGACCACCCACTTCCTTCCCCTGCCCATTACCCTGTGTTTTCCCACCCTATCTTCACCTGCCCTGGGTGAGATGGGCTCAGTCTGAGAAACACTCCTCCTTCCTCCAGTTCTCCAGGGGACAGGCCAGGATATCATGGTTGCACAGAGTTTCCTGGAATACCTGCAAATCCAATAATGCAGGGAACAGGTTTAGCGTGATCCCTAGGTGCTTATGGTGGAGGTTCCAGAACAGGTAGAAAGCCTGCTCACTATTACTTTAACCCACTTGGTTCAAACCCTCTGTTTGAGGCCAGAGGATGCTTGAGCCAAAAAAAAAAAAAAAAGCCCCTTGGAGCATGCTCAGCTCTACTATGAAGCCACCTGAGCTTGCTGATGCCTGCTCGGCCTTGAGGTCGTCTTAGACCTTGCAGAGGTCTGATAAGAATCTGGGGTGCCAGCCAGTTCTGGGGGCGTCCTTGGGCCTGAAGCAAATTAAGATGTGCTTAGGCCAACTGGGTTCTGCTAATGCCTACAGGCTCCGGGAAGGCCTCTGCAGAGCTCAAAGCCCAGGCCTGAGGTCTAAGTATCCTGTGAGCCTTAATTGCATGGGTCTGTCCCTGCAGAGCCCTGGTCATCCCTAGCCCAGGCACTTCTGGGTATCATTTTTATTGAGGGACCTCAAGCTGGGGCATCTTCAGTGCTCTACCCGACTGGCAGAGGTGGCTAGGTTTCGCCTTACCTCTGAGCTCCTGGTGGGGAGTCTTCTCTGGAACTGGGGGAGAAAAATGGGGCCACCAAGGCCTGGTGGCCCACTTGCAAAGTGGAGAGGGGAAATTATCAATACCAATCCTAGGCAGCGATTGCTTTGGGAACGGGGGACCTTTGTCACCACAACTTCAGTCAGCTTTGAAGGTTTTGCCTCACACGAAGCCAGAAAGAGGAAGGACAGAAATGCCCCACACCATCACACTCTTGGGAGTTAATTACATCGCGTTCCGGGAATTTGGGGGCAGCATTCTACTCCCAGTCAAGCTCCGGTTTGTCTCAAGGCCCCTCCTAGTCTTAAAGCCCTCAACCACAATGCCCACGTGTGGGCCCCAGAAGACAGAATCAAACCTTTGCCTCCTAAACAGCCGCCAGCTGGCGGAAAGGGCGGAGCCCAGGAGTGGGGGCGCGGTCAAGGCGGGGCCCAGGGAACGCAGCGGGTGGGATCAAGCTGTGATTCGGGAGCTAGGGCTAGAGGGGTGGAGCCATCCGGGGTGGGGCTCGGAGAGCTGGAAGAAGCTGGGTGAAGTACTGGTGTGGAAGGCGTGGCCACCTTGCATAGGCCGCGCATCTTGAAGGGCGTGACCATCAAGTAGCTGGGCGCCCAGCTGAGTGCCCTGTTGGGCGGGTCTGCAGTGTTGTGAGTGGCGTACATAGTCCCGCACAGCGGCTCCTTTAAGTCCGGGGCGCCACCCCTGCCGCCCCGCCTCCGGCCTCGGTTTAGCTGGTGGCGGGGCTGGGGCCGCGCGAGCCGAGATGGAGCTGCACATCCTAGAGCACCGGGTGCGGGTGCTGAGCCTCGCCCGCCAGGGTCTCTGGCTCTACACCCACCCTCTCATCAAGCTGCTCTTCCTGCCCCGCCGTAGCCGGTGCGCTCCCGGGTTCGGGGGCGCCGATGGGGGGGGGGGGGGGGCGGCTCTTCACTGTCTCTCCCGGCCAGGGTTGGAGGATTAGGATCGTCGCGAGGCGGGCGGGAGCGGGAAGGCAGGCGCTCCCCCTCCGGCCGCCATCCGGCCTGGGCCTACCCTCCCGGGGACCGCCGCCTATCCGGTCCCGGAGGCTGCATCCCAGGGCCAGTCAAGGCGCAAACAGCCTGGAGTGGGCAATGCTTAACTCCGAATGGTGTGAAGTGGGGGCATTCTTACCTGGCCACTACGGAGAGCTCCTTCCCGACGCCTCCCATCAGGTCAGAGGGGCCGGCCTGGGGGCCCAAGGTCCGATGCCCCTGGTGTTGTCTCGGGTGTGAGCCTCTCCTCCCTGGAGTAATGGAGGGGCGGGAGGCTACGGGGAGGGAGTTTTGGAGGTGGACAACAGCCCTTGCCTGGGGAGATGGGGCCCACACCCCTTTGCCCAGGGGAAATTGAGCCTGCGGATGAGGGCCGGGCAGGAAGGCGCCTGGCAGGGGGGTCCTTTGGGACGAATTGAGCTCAGTCCACCCCCACCGCCCCCTCCCCCTGAGTGCTCCACTCCAGGCTGAAGATCCTCCCTGCTCCCGACCAGGTGTAAATTCTTCAGCCTGACGGAGACCCCCGAGGATTACACGCTCATGGTGGACGAGGAGGGCTTTAAAGGTGGGGTCTAGTCTCATGCTTCCCTCTATGCAGGGTTCCTAACGGATGCTGGGATCCAGATCCCAAGAACTTGGGCCTTGAAAGGCAGATGGATCTGGGTTCGAATTCTACTCCACCACTCACTGGCTCTCTTGATGAAATCACTTTCCCTGAGATATTTCCTCTTTTGTAAAATGGGTATAGTTACGGTAGTGATCTAGCAGGGTCCCAGGAGGGTATCATAAAAGTGAAACTGTCAGGGAGGGGTCGCTTAGTAGCCTTAGGCCAGTAAGGAGGGGGGCAGGTATCTTAGCTACAGGTCGGGACTTGAATGTGTGGGGTGGGGGAAGGAGGTTCCTGCTGCTGTTTTAACCCCTGGGCATTGTTTTCTGTTGGACTTTTATCCCGGGTACACGTCAGCTCCTCCCCTGCTGGTTTAGGAACTCCTGGAGTCTGAGGGTTGAGAAGGGAATGCAGGAGCAGGCAGCCAGGGCAGGGTCCTGGGGGCCTCCTGGCTGTGCCTCTGGGAACAGCAGCCAACCGGGGCCCTGGCCCTTGTTCAGAACTGGCCTCCAGCCTGGTCCCTCCCTGGGCCCTGGAGCTGCTGTCTCTCCCCACTTCTGCAAGAGTTAGCCCATCCTTACAGGCCGGGATCAGACTAACCAACTGGAGGTTGTCCTATCTCCTTGCTGCTCCACTTCAGGCCTTGGGTTCCAAGTTGCTACTTAATTTCAGGGAAGTCTGGATCTGCAAACGAGGAAAAGCCCTTCCACCCACAGGCTAACCCAATCTGCTTGCGCCCCCCAGTGGTGCTTTGTGATATAAAGCCTCTGTTAATGCTCAAAACATTACTTTCATCCCATTTTACAGATAAGGAAACAGATCATTTGCCCCATAACAAGTAATTAGCAGAGCTGGGATTTGAAACCAGTTGAGTCTGGAGTTCAGATATTTAATGGGAAGGTTCAACACCCGCCCCCTTCACCAACACACACACAGTACCCAAAGCACTTCTCAGTCTGCATACCTATGGGTATTACTCTGCAGCACTAGGGGGAGACAGCTCTCATCTCCAGACCTGCCCATATATTGCTGACCCTCCAAGGCACAGACAGGGAAATTAAGTCTCAGAAAGGGGTAGGGCTAGCCCTGAAGGCCCTTACTAGGCATTTGCCTCCTACTACAGAGCTGCCCCCATCGGAATTTCTGCAAGTGGCTGAAGCCACCTGGCTGGTGATGAATGTGTCGTCGCACAGTGGTGCAGCAGTGCAGGCTGCTGGGGTCACTAAAATTGCTCGCTCAGTCATCACGCCACTGGCCGAGCACCATGTATCTGTGCTGATGCTATCCACTTACCAGACAGACTTCATCCTGGTAAGTTTCCCATAGGTATAGGCACAAGGCAGCATGGGCATGGGTGCCTGGGGGACCCATGTGATGTGCCATATGCCTATGGCCCAGGTGCGGGAGCAGGACCTGTCTGTGGTGATCCACACTCTGGCCCAGGAGTTCGACATTTACCGTGAAGTGGGTGGGGAGCCTGTGCCTGTTGCCAGGGATGATTCCAGCAACGGCTTTCCTCGTGCCCAGCATGGTGAGGTCTGCCTCTTGACACCTAAACATTCCAGTGGGGCTCTTCCCTTATGTTGGTGGGTCTGGGGGCATGGGAAAACCAGCAGACACTAACTGCCTCTTGAGCTGGGAGGAGGAGTGGGAGGTCCCAGGCTG